AACCTAGTGAAAAATACTGTTAATGAAAACAAGTGTTCTAGAATTGTTTGTGTTCGATTATGAGAAAACATGACCAATCTTCGATTATATCAGTTAATCGGACCACCACTAATAAACAGGTAATGATTATTTGGGTGCACTCATTTTGCATGGTCTGATCCCTTACCCAGATACAAATCCTGTGAAATCAAAGTATGTTTTTCAAAAGAAAATGATATCTGTTGCATTCGGGATTGTTTCCTATCTGTCATTGCAATGTTTCCCAACGTCACTAACCTTAGAATGGGTGTAGTAGCTTTCCTATTTTCTTCCTTGCAGACTGTGGAACTCCCGATTCAAACCTGTTTCTTGATGCGAGTTCTTTACGTTCTTTGACAAGAACTGGACTTTTTATTGGAGGAACATCATCTGGGGAGGCTTCCTTGTCCAGGACTGCTCGTCAATCAGATTCACAAGTTGGTTACAAGTGCGATGAATGTGGCAAAGTGTTCACTGAAACTGGGACAAGGAAGGCTCACTGGGAATCTGTTCACAACAACGTGACATATTCTTGTCTGTGTGGGAGGGTTTACAAGTACCGCAGCGGGTTCAGGAGACATAGGTTGTTGTGTCCTCAAGGACTGGGCGCAGACCCTATCAAGAGTTCCTCTGGTGACATGTCATTATGAAGTGTGCTGTCTGACAGGTGCTTGGAGTTTGTCACTCCACAAGGAGACGGGAAAGAGACCAGATTACCTTGCTGCTTTGGCCACTAGTCTGAAGCCTGTGTGTATAAGTGTTCATTGGTCTAAGAAATTCAGCTAGTAAACATTACCTTCATGTCATGACGAAAATGAACTGAATATCCGTAAAGATCTGTGTTGGAATTGACCGTCAGCAACTGTGTAGTCCGATATCATGATATCAATCACTGGATTGTCTGATCCAGATTGTCATATAGGTGGAAGATTGCCACATGCAGTGTTATACAAACAGACAAGCAAACAAAATCTGTATATGTGTACTGAAAGAACATTTGGTCGAGTTGACTGAAAAAACAATTAGTTTCATTTTATGCCTGTAGGACGTGGTCCTTTAGTATGCTAATCAGAGCCATTGTTGAGACAAAAATATCCAGAAAATGTTTTTGAAGGAAAAGGATGGTCATGGATTCAAAGACTGGGCCCCATTCTGTGATGTAAACTTGTCGTAGGTACTGCAGATGTGTATTGGGTCAGATGGGGTGAAAACTGGACAGCAGCAGAGAATGTGTGGATTTTTCAGACCTTCTGGAGGATTTGGGCCGTGCTATACCTTGCAATGGAGACTTTTTAAAGACTATTTGTTCCAATTTGTTTCACAAAGTTCTCTTTTCACATGATGAGTTGAGGACCTTTCAACTTTGAAAGATGTATTGAATTGATTGCCATGCCTGGAATACATGTCACTTTCATCATGTGTATTTGTTTCACATTTTCGTCATAAAACTATTGCGTAAAACATCTCTGTTTGTTGTGAAGTTGACGTGCAAAGTTTTATTAAAATCCACAACATGGATTAATACAGTTTCCACAGTATTCTTATTCACACCTCAATGAGCAGAAACACATACACAGTCAATCCTTGAATGAATGTCAGACATTTAATGAACACAAAATTATCTAAAATTTGTTTGACAAATATATGGCTTGATAGAAGCTGTTCCATTTTGTTGCTTTCAGATTATGGCAACGTGGGGTCTGAACTATATCTAGAGGAAAGTTCCTTGCATGATCTGGCCCGAGCGGGAGTACACATTGGAGGAAACGTCTCCATGAGGGGCCCGGGGGTTTCAGTACAAGGGACTCAGCCTTGTGCACAGATTGGTTACAAGTGCGATGAATGTGGCAAAGTGTTCACCGAAACTGGGACAAGGAAGGCTCACTGGGAATCTGTTCACAACAACGTGACCTATTCTTGTCCGTGTGGGAGGGTTTACAAGTACCGCAGCGGGTTCAGGCTCCACAGACAAAAGTGTCCACAAGCTGTTGGTGTAGAACCTATTAAGCAGTTTCAGATGAAGCTCTCTTAAAGTGGAGGGCTCTGCTACAACAGTTTCAGATGAAGCTCTCTTAAAGTGGAGGGCTCTGCTACAACAGTTTCAGATGAAGCTCTCTTAAAGTGGAGGGCTCTGCTACAACAGTTTCAGATGAAGCTCTCTTAAAGTGGAGGGCTCTGCTACAACAGTTTCAGATGAAGCTCTCTTAAAGTGGAGGGCTCTGCTACAACAGTTTCAGATGAAGCTCTCTTAAAGTGGAGGGCTCTGCTACAACAGTTTCAGATGAAGCTCTTTAAAGTGGGAGGCTCTGCTACAACAGTTTCAGATGAAGCTCTTTTAAAGTGGAGGGCTCTGCTACAACAGTTTCAGATGAAGCTCTCTTAAAGTGGAGGGCTCTGCTACAACAGTTTCAGATGAAGCTCTCTTAAAGTGGAGGGCTCTGCTACAAGTTTCAGATGAAGCTCTCTTAAAGTGGAGGGCTCTGCTACAACAGTTTCAGATGAAGCTCTCTTAAAGTGGAGGGCTCTGCTACAACAGTTTCAGATGAAGCTCTCTTGAAGTGGAGGGCTCTGCTACAACAGTTTCAGATGAAGCTCTCTTAAAGTGGAGGGCTCTGCTACAACAGTTTCAGATGAAGCTCTCTTAAAGTGGAGGGCTCTGCTACAACAGTTTCAGATGAAGCTCTCTTAAAGTGGAGGGCTCTGCTACAACAGTTTCAGATGAAGCTCTCTTAAAGTGGAGGGCTCTGCTACAACAGTTTCAGATGAAGCTCTCTTAAAGTGGAGGGCTCTGCTACAACAGTTTCAGATGAAGCTCTCTTTAAAGTGGAGGGCTCTGCTACAACAGTTTCAGATGAAGCTCTCTTAAAGTGGAGGGCTCTGCTACAACAGTTTCAGATGAAGCTCTCTTAAAGTGGAGGGCTCTGCTACAACAGTTTCAGATGAAGCTCTCTTAAAGTGGAGGCTCTGCTACAACAGTTTCAGATGAAGCTCTCTTAAAGTGGAGGGCTCTGCTACAACAGTTTCAGATGAAGCTCTCTTAAAGTGGAGGGCTCTGCTACAACAGTTTCAGATGAAGCTCTCTCTTAAAGTGGAGGGCTCTGCTACAACAGTTTCAGATGAAGCTCTCTTAAAGTGGGAGGGCTCTGCTACAACAGTTTCAGATGAAGCTCTCTTAAAGTGGAGGGCTCTGCTACAACAGTTTCAGATGAAGCTCTCTTAAAGTGGAGGGGCTCTGCTACAACAGTTTCAGATGAAGCTCTCTTAAAGTGGAGGGCTCTGCTACAACAGTTTCAGATGAAGCTAAGCTCTCTTGAAGTGGAGGGCTCTGCTACAACAGTTTCAGATGAAGCTCTCTTTAAAGTGGAGGGCTCTGCTACAACAGTTTCAGATGAAGCTCTCTTAAAAGTGGAGGGCTCTGCTACAACAGTTCTCAGATGAAGCTCTCTTAAAGTGGAGGGCTCTGCTACAACAGTTTCAGATGAAGCTCTCTTAAAGTGGAGGGCTCTGCTACAACAGTTTCAGATGAAGCTCTCTTAAAGTGGAGGGCTCTGCTACAACAGTTTCAGATGAATCTCTCTGAAAGTGGAGGGCTCTGCTACAACAGTTTCAGATGAAGCTCGCTTAAAGAGGGCTCTGTAAAATTGTTGTCCTTGGAATTTTTATCAAGTTATCAGAGAGTGTTCAGGATACATGGACAGAAGTGTGGGAACCCATTATGCAGTATCAGATGAAACTCTAAAGGGGCCTTTTGTCGAATTGGTCATCCTAGCAAGTCTGACTCAAGTTACGACAGATCAGGGTACACCTACAGAGGTGTCCTCAAGCTTTTGGCATGGAACCCATTACTCAGTATCAGATGAAGCTCTCTTAAACTTGACCTCCGACTGTTTTTTTAATTGGTCTTTGCAAGTCTGACTCAAGTGATCACAGATCAGGCTACACCTTCAGAGGTGTCCTCAAGCTGTTGATGTGTCATCCATTATACTGTTCCAGAAGAACCTCAAAGGAAGACTCTGCTTTTGTAGTTTTCTGTCTGATTCAAGTTACCAAAGTCTGTTATGTTTTGTAAGTCTTCTCAACTACATGTTAGGCAATCCTGGAGAGTTGTTTTCTTCAAGACTCAAACACTGTGACTTTGTGTCAGTAAGGCAGGGAGAACGTCCATGACTGAACTGAAACATGCCCCACCCCACTGAGCATAGTCTCCATTGAATCATGATTCATCTTGTTTTGCCTGACAAGTGTCAAACTCCATTTGGTTTGACTTTGGTAACTTTTCTTATTTGACGTTTCTTGTATATTGTGTGTATATTATTTCCTGCAAGGTGTTATCAGTATGGTGTGTGGATTATTTTTTGTCCAAAGACTGACAATTTACATTTTGTGTTGAGTATTAATCCTTTCTTCATCTGAATAAATCATTGATTTGTGATGCCATGTTGTTTCGATATCCAGACACAATCATCTTCCATACACCTGGAAGCATGTGGACCTGTTGTTTTCGATATCCAGACACAATCATCTTCCATACACCTGGAAGAACGTGGACCTGTTGTTTCGATATCCAGACACAATCATCTTCCATACACCTGGAAGAACGTGGACCTGTTGTTTCGATATCCAGACACAATCATCTTCCATACACCTGGAAGAACGTGGACCTGTTGTTTCGATATCCAGACACAATCATCTTCCATACACCTGGAAGAACGTGGGCCTGTTGTTTTGATATCCAGACACAATCATCTTCCATACACCTGGAAGCACGTGGACCTGTTGTTTCGATATCCAGACACAATCATCTTCCATACACCTGGAAGCACGTGGACCTGTTGTTTCGATATCCAGACACAATCATCTTCCATACACCTGGAAGCACGTGGACCTGTTGTTTCGATATCCAGACACAATCATCTTCCATACACCTGGAAGCACGTGGACCTGTTGTTTCGATATCCAGACACAATCATCTTCCATACACCCGGAAGAACGTGGACCTGTTGTTTCGATATCCAGACACAATCATCTTCCATACACCTGGAAGCACATGGACCTGTTGTATGATCAAGAAGTATTTGTGGGTCAACTGGACAGTTTTGTTTGAAGTGATAAGGACTGAAATTGTTATGACCATGAGCAATGAAAACATTGATGTGGGGCGGGCTTTGATAGACTTGTGTATCCGATCAGGGGAGATAACTCAGTCATGTTTTACATACATGGAAGAAACTGCACCCAGTATGATCCTAAACAAGTTTTTTACGTAATATTTCCCAGGTAGCATATCGCTGTTGTAAGTGGGTACTAAAATCATTATCTCTACCCATCCAGAGCCACAAGTTTAAATAATGACAGCTTGCCACATTGTCAGAGTATCAATCTTGGGAGCATTGGCGAGAAATATTGTGTCTGTTTTGTATCTTCTCTTCTGTAGAGGCGGTAGATCATCCAGATACAATGAGGCCTCAGTTTTTGTAGGAGCAAACCATAATGACCTCAAGACAACCTATTTTCAAGGGCTTTTGATGTAGTGGATATTGGTGGATTCTCACACAGCTGTGGAACTCTTTCTCTGTGTGGTCTGACCATATGTAACCGCCTCCATGGTGTAGTGGTTAGAGCGTCTGCCCCGAGAGTGGAAGGTCGCGGGTTCGATCCCCGACCGCATCATACCAAAAGACGTTAAAATATGGTACTTGTTGGTCCCTGCCTGGCGCTCTACATTAATGGTACAACAAGGACTGGTCGGCTCGGAGTCAGTATAATGTGTCTAAGTGGGGTATTCATGCTTCACTGCGGCATGGTATCTCAGTGGGCTAGCACTATAAAACCAGCTTAAGTCTGGGCTAGTACAAGCAGCCTCACATACATATACACATGCATGCACATCGTCATATGAGCGAAATATTCTCAAGCACGACGTTAAACCCAATTTCACCTCACCTCACCTCTGCCCATATGTGGATAAAGTTCATTCACTCAGATATACAGATTGTTCTGTTCTGCCACACGTTGCAGTTTTGTGGATTGCTCATCTTTGGTTTAGCATGAGGCATTTGTAACTTAAGTTCCTGTTCCAGAAGTTGAATTCATTTTGTTTTGGGATATTTGGAAAAGTAAATATTTGTTTCCATATTTAACAAACAGCCACCTGAGTTACAAGACTTAACTGGATGACCTTTGTGGTAAAGATGTTTCACAATTAACAGGAGGGTGGTGGGGTAGCCCAGTGGTTAAGGCGTTTGTTTGTCACACCAAAGACACAGGTTCAATTACCCATATGGGTACAATGTTTGAAGCCCATTTCTGGTGTCACCCTGCCGTGGTATTTCTGGATTATTGCTAAAATTGGCATAATACTAAACTCCTTTTATCACTCACTCACTCAGACATCTTCTAAGTGCCTCCTTCATCTGTAGGAACTGGACACAATGGTCTCCAAGAGTTACTGCTATTGTCTCTTTCTCTTTCAGATAATGGTACAGTTGGTTCATTCCAACAGTTTGAAGGCAGTTCATACAATATGGTGTCAGGTGTTGGAAGAGAGGTCATGTTGGCTACTTCCTGTGCGTCACCTAATGGTTGTAGGTGTGAGGTTTGTGGGAAGATCTTCACAGACCCAGGCACCAAGAAGGCCCACAAGGAAGCCATCCATGACAATGTCACCTACCTCTGCCCGTGTGGCAAAGTCTACAAATATCGCTGTGGCTTCCGGAAACACAGACAGAGTTGCTCACAGGCCTTGGGTGCAGATCCTATCAAGCAGTATAATTATTACCCTTGAGGGTTCCGACTTCGAGGAAGTGAGTTGCAGCGGTTTCTCTGCAGAATGTGGGCCTTTGCTTTGAAAAAATATTGTTCTTCCACAAATCAGTTGTTCTTACATCACAGGAAGGCTATGAAGATCTTGTGTGATGATTACTTTGGTGTTCTTGATGGTTAGGAAGTTGCACCAGTCATACCTGGTCACAACTGACGTAGGTTTTAATATATTGTTGTTACATTGTCACATGGAAGGTTGTGAAGGTCTTCTCATATTGCTTTTGCATTCATCTTGTCGGATGGGAAAGAAGTTGCACCAGTCATGCCTGTTTCAGAATTTATGTTGTAGGTTGTTTCAGTTTTGTGTTCTAGTGGAACTACCATATATATGGGTAGATTTCCACCCTTCCGATTGGCCAACTTGGTCACATGACAGCGTTGACGTTAAGCGATGTCAACCTTGCCAACGAGAGGTTGATATAACAATCCATAGATTTGGGATATTCCAGCTGTGTTTAAAACTCCCAAAATTCTAAGCCAGACAGCCGGACTGGTAACTTTAAAAAATTACCAGTCCGGATACAAAGTTGCCTGTCCGGTTTTCAACAATTAAACACTTTGACTGTTATTGCTAACTCGAACAATCTCCATTCACTGTTTGTAGGCATCGCAATGAACTACATAGCCCTAACAAGCAATGTACCGAGTTTAGGTAAGCTGAAAGTACATGATTGTGATTGGTTATCGTGACATGAACTGCCCAATCGTAAGTAGTTTAACATAATTATCATAAAATCTTAAACACCTCAAACTGACGACAAGAGAACCTGTCTGATATTGTGAAATATTTTCTCTTAGGGGTAAAAATATCTACCAGACCACCGGAGAGGCTACTTTTAAAATTTGACCGTCCGAGATGAAAATAGACCGTTCCGGACGGTCAGGCAGGCAGACATTTTAAACGCTGCCATATATCACTGTTTATTATATGATGGGTTGATTTCCGCCCTTCCAATTGGCCAACTTGGTCACATGACAGCGTTGATGCTAAGCGATGTCAACCTCGCCACGTCGGGAGAGGTTGATATAAGAATCCAAGCACCCCCTGTGGCTAAAAATAGATTTGGGATATTCCAGCTGTGAACTCCGCACTGCATGGGTCACGCTAGATAAGGAAGTGATAGACATCGCTTCATCCCTGTGACTGTGTTGGTTTAGAGTTACGTCCCATCTGTATCAAAATGGCAGACGACCCGACACCACGAAGATTAATGACTGTGTATTCAAAGTATTCAGTACTTTTGTCATATAATAAAACAATTATTGACTTCAGTTGGTTGATCCATGATTTATCAACCTTGGACATGTGACATGTCCAAGGTTGATAAATCATTGGATCAACCTCACTAGAAGTCCATAATTGTATAGTATTGTCTGTCCACACACTTAAAGTGACCTACCTGTAAACACCTTGGATATCAAAGCTAATTTATTAAGGTAGCTCTTCCATAAAGCTACCCTGCACCAAGCACATCATTAGCATACACGATCCTATTAGTTGCAGTAAAATCATGTTTTGTTTTCTGATGGTCGTAGAATACAAGAACGTCACCATTTTGTGTGTTGGCGTGAGTGACCAGGAAAATCTGTTTATTATAGGAACTGAATTCAGTCAAATAAAGAGAGTGGATGTTTTGTAATTTAATCAGTTGTAGAGGTTCTAATTTACTGGACCCATCATGAACCTTTGTTGTATCAGGCGATGCAGGGATTTTGTGTTCGAATTATTCCCTTGCTGCTGTCATGAGAGGTGACCTAATGGATTGAGTGGTCAGGATCTGTGTTGTTATTCCCTAATGGTATGGAGCATTACTCATGATATCAATCAGTGGATTGTCTGGTCCAGAGGGGCAGGATCCTGTGTTGTTGTAACCCCATGCCAAGGTTTGATTCCCCACATGGATACAATGTGTGAAGCCCATTCTCTCTCTCTCTCTCTCTCTCTCTCTCTCTCTCTCTCTCTCTCTCTCTCTCTCTCTCTCTCTCTCTCTCTCTCTCTCTCTCTCTCTCTCTCTCTCTCTCTCTCTCTCTCTCTCTCTCTCTCTCTCTCTCTCTCCTCCTCCTCTCCTCCCTCCTTTCTTTTCCTCTTCTTCTTTCCCCCATAAAATTAAACTCACTCACTCTGGTCCAGACTTGTCATCTGAGATGGTCTTGTGTGGTTGATTATGTGTCGTTATAACCTGATGGCATGGATCATTACTGGCATATTATATAGAGACCACTGTCGTATATCAACAAGAAAAAGCTTTCAGGTATTCGCTGGCTTACATACGGGTTAAATTAACTTACAGATTAAAATTGGCAGTAGAAGTGTCTCCAACATAACTCATTGCTTCCCTCAAGTATACTACCCAACTTTTGATAGGGATGATCAGATTTGTCATTCTATTTAAAAATACACTTGACATATGAGAATAGTTTTGGTGTGTCACGGACAGATACAAATATCCCTGTGAATAGTTGAGCAGTGTATTCAGTATACTATGGTTATAACATACTCAAAGGGATATATATGATTTCGTTATAAATGTAGTTTCTTGTTATAGCGACTTCATAAGCTATTCTCCTTGCATTAGGCACATGGTTTGATGGGCAGTTCATTTATTCTTTCTTTCATTCCATTTTTTTTTTTTTTTTCATTATGTCATATATTCTCTGTAAAGATTCAGCTGCAATTTATTTTTATTCCTTTCAGATCCTGGAACTGCCCATCATTCAAACCCAAATATGCCTGGCCTGTCCCTCCGTCCAGGGGACGGGACTCACATGGCGCCGGGAATATTTGAAAAGGATTTAGACTTCAGTTTACTCATGCAAACTTCCCGATTGTCTGAAATTCCCCAGGATCAGGCAGGGTATAGGTGTGACATTTGTGGCAAGATCTTCACAGATCCAGGCACTAGGAAGGCCCATAAAGAAGCTATTCATGACAATGTGACGTACTCGTGTCCCTGTGGGAGGGTGTACAAGTACCGGTGCTCCTTCAGGAAGCATCGACAGACCTGCCCACAAGGCTTGGGGTCGGACCCCATCAAGAATTACAATGTTGATCTGTCAGGGTGATGGTAGGCCACAAAGATTGTTCGGATAGCTCATGAGTTAGAAGATATAGGCAGACAGACATGCTCACAGACTTGGTGGAAGACCATGATGCATACTGATAAGGGTGACTGGATGTTACAGTGATAGGGTTATGAGTCATGAAGCATAGGCTAGATTTATCTAAGGTTCCAAACTAGGCAAATGGAATGGTGGAAGCATATTGTGGTTATTTGCTGGACAGTATGGTACTTGGATTGCTGGTGTCATATGCAAATGCGTGTCATATGAAAATCTATCCGACCTAACTTTATTTGTTGAAGGTCATGGAGCATTGCCATGATTATTATTATTAAATCATCATGGAGATCGAGAATGTGCATCATGGAGGTCGAACTTTGCAGTGGATTTTGTGATGACAGAAAGCGGAAATTGATGGCCAGAAATGATGGTTTATGGATGATTGTGTTATGATATTATATTTGTACCATTTTTTTAAATTCCACTTTCCAATTGATAACTGGTCAAATGCACTTAAACCTCAGATCTAATTATTAAACTGTTTATTGGATCAATGTGCCATCAGTGTTCATTCTCAACTTCCTGGGGAGTATGCAAGAATGGAAATATGTGAAGACCTAGAAGGTAACTGTCACAGTCCGTTACTCTCTCCTGTTGTCTACCCATTCAGTGCAGGGATGCCATAGGCATGGCTGCAACATGGGTATGGGTATTTGGTGGTAGAGGCCTTCACTCATCACACTTAAAGAGTCACTTGACCATTAGAAGATGCCATGTATGTTTCATGAGTTCACTGTCATATCGGCAACTTTGGAAACTTGGCATGGGTTATTTTCTGGTAGAGGCCTTCGACTCATCACACACAAGCAAATTAAAGCCAAGTGTTTGATTCCCCGCCAAACATAAACACAATGTGTGAGGGCCATTCTTATGTGATTGCACAGACATTATATTCCTGGAATGAAGCCATTAGAACAGAGGTTACGTAGGAAGATCACTCACTCACTCATGTACACAGCTCTTAAACTAATATTAAGTATTTTCTAGTGCAGATTTTATTTTTGCTTCTTTAAGAACACTCCTTGTACCAGGTATACCTGAAGCCATATGCTAATGTGTTCTCCATGTCTTACTGATGAGCGGCCATGTTGTCTCTCAGTTCACCTTCAACAAGACATTTCAACTTGTGTACAGAAATGAGGGAAAACATTGCTGAATGCCCCTTGTACGTGATGCAAACCGAGTTTCCCTGATGATACGGGGCGATGTTGTAGCCTAGTGGTTAAAGCGTTCGATCTTCACATGCTGAAGACCTGGGTTCATTTCCCCAAGGGTACAATGTGTGAAGTCCATTTCTGGTGTTCCCTGCCGTGATATTGCTGGAATATTGCTAAAAGCGGCGTAAAACTAAACTCACTCACTCCCTGATGATACTGTACAGGACAATAGACCTGTACATATAGACTGTATTGACCTGAATATTATGAGATCTCGGTGCAGACATGGTTCTTCGTTTTTCTCCTTACAGTTTCAATCATGACATTAACAAGAAAAATTAAAAAAATAAAAATTCCTTCAAAAAGTGTTTTTTGTTACTTTCAGGTAATTGGAATTCTGGCATACGTGCACATACCCTTGAGTATATTGGACAAGATAGGAGCTCGCAGGATCTCGATCACAGACTCCTTTTTTCTGGAAAATCCCCGTCAGATAATTATTCACAAAATTTGTCCCGATCCTTCAATCCAAGTACCCTCAGTCAAGCCTGTGAGTGTCCGATATGTGGGAAAATGTTTGCCACTTCGGACTCACGGAAAGTCCATGTACGGAATGTCCATGAGAATGTGCGGTACTCGTGTATCTGTGGCAAGGTCTACACTACGTGCAGCTCGCTGTGCAAACATAAGAAAACTTGCCCATTTATGAACCGATAAGCTTTTTTCCTATTTTGGGATGGATATTTATACAGTCTGCTCAAGATGTATGAGGGTGTTCGGGTGGTCCCTGATGTTGAGTTTCCATGAATGTGTAACGTTGTTGCTGATCTTCACAGGACACTTTTTACATGTGCAACACTGTTGTGCAATTTTGTTGATCTATTTGGAATGGTTGTCCTAACATGTACAACATTGTTGATCAATTTCATTGACCGGGTTCACATGTGCAACATTGTTGATCATCTTCATTGACAGGGTTCACATGTGCAACATTGTTGATCATCTTCATTGACAGGGTTCACATGTGCAACATTGTTGATCATCTTCATTGACAGGGTTTACATGTGCAACATTGTTGATCATCTTCATTGACAGGGTTCACATGTGCAACATTGTTGATCATCTTCATTGACCGGGGTTCATATGTGCAACATTGATAATCAGTTTTTCATTACAACTGCTACCATGTTGATGTTTTACTTGATATTATTGGTTATCATCTTAAAAACTACATGACTTTGTACAAAAATTTGCTATGGGATGTGAGGGCTGTGTTCGGACCACTTGAAGTGCTTCAGTTTAAAATAAACAAAATCTTTCAACATTTGGAAAAGGTTGTCAAATGTGTTGATAGGAATAAGAGATTGAGGTTTTGTTCAGCATTTGCATTATTTGGATTTAAGAAAAAAGATTGTACTTATAAGACAAGAATGTGTCCCAAAATGCTAGTTTTCTAGTTTTTCAGAATTCATTTTTCATGTATTCAAACAAGAACCAGTCTTTGGCCCGAGCTTTTTGATGTTAAATTGTAATTTTGGATCATTGACTAAAGAATAAGTAATGTTTGAATATTTGGCCATTTTCTGTGATTACAAAAAATATTTCAATAATTGACTGTATTATAATAGTCCAAAACCTATCATTTCTGAGAAAGAATAATTAGTAAGTCAACTAATTTCAAATCACTTTTATCACAGCTTTTACATGTTTTCTGTAATTATAATATTTCACACTACCTTCTCTTTAAGAAAACAGGTGTTTTAGAAATAAAGATTTGTAGCAAAACATTCACAAAAAGATGGTGTTTTAGCAGACATATAAAAAAGGATTTGTGCTCCCCATATACCATGCAAATACAATGCGTGGTAAGTGCAACATGATTATCAACCTGAGTGTATTTCCAAACCTACTCTGCTGTCAGTAACTTGTTTGGGCTACAACTGTAAGAGATCATAGCATGTGTTATGTGAACGAGCAGTATTGGAAGAGCATTTTCAGTCCTTCATGATTGTCTGATGAAAATAATTAAAATGATTGATTAAAGTTTGTCATTTTATGTGTCATGTTTGTTTGTTTTCCTTATTCAGCTCAGATTCTTTAGTGTATACATTGGGTGGTGGGGTAGCCTAGTGGTTAAAGCGTTGGCTCGTCATGCTGAAGACATTCCCCACATGGGCACAATGTGTTATGTTAGACACCCCGAGTTGTGTCCGTAAAACTGAACTCAGTCAGTAGTGTATGGCAGGACTGGTGTAATGTTGACACGGAGTTGTGTCCTTGTCTGGCAGGATCAACCATGAGTCCAGGATTTATACAGATTTTGATCTTGGGTCTGTCAGCTCCATGGGTTTGGTCAAAATGGTAAACGTCAATGACCTACATCTTTTAAGGTCATGTATATATTCTTGAATTAAATTATTTGACATGAAAACTGAAAAACTGAAAACATGCACTCACTAAATCATGCTGTAGAATATGGAGGTATCATGGTGTTTATTCCAGTCATGATTATGACTTGTTAGCTTGAGCTACATCGCTTCATTGTTTTAGCGACACAAGGGGATTCCGGTTAGAAATGGTCCTTAGCAACCTGTGATGAATGTCAGGGTTACCAGATGGATCTGGTTGTCAGGCTCCCATCTGTTGGGCTTTCAGGATGAGCGATGGGGTAGCCTTAGTGGTTAAAGCGTTCGCCTGTCTCGCTGAAGACCCAGGTTCGATTCCCCACATGGGTACAATGTGTGAAACCCATTTCTGGTGTCCTCCGCCATGATATTGCTGGAATATTGCCATAGTGGCGTAAAACTAACTCACTCACGTCAGGATAAGCTGCTGATGGAGGATGCAAACACTTTTCACTGTAGTAACCATAGAAACTGTGTATGAATACAACACTAGAGACAGTAAACCTCCCAATTTATGATATAGTGCAAAATCATGTAAAGATCGTTGTTTACAGAAACAGCCACAAATTGTAAACAATTGAAACCAAAGATAACATTTTATTGAACAAGTAGGCATAGCATTGGCATGTATAGCCTGTCAAATATAGTTCTGTCTGGGAGAGCTCATTTGCATATTTATCAGCTGTGATACCCAGTTTATTGGATTGGCATCAGGGAGTCAGAATACTGTGTCTGAGTTGGGTATCCATGCTCAACATAAGCATCATTTTGTCACAATGGGCTAACACTGTACGACTCAAAATAGTCTGTAATGGTACCAGTACTCACACATGCTTGCATGCACATAACAATAAACCTGTAAATATCTCCACATTAAACCTCATTGTGCCTTCCCTAACTCTGTAATTTCGAGACTCATGAAGATACGAGTTACAATTGGTCTTCAGCAACCTATCTTTGTTGTTGTAAGAAGACTAGGGGCGGTGGGGTAGCCTAATGGTTAAAGCGTCCCCTCGTCCCGCCGAAGACCCGGGTTCAAATCCCCACATGGGCACAATGTGTGAAGCCTATTTCTGGTGTCCCCTGCCGTGATATTGCTGAAATATTGCTAAAAGCGGCGTAAAATCATACTCACTCACTCACTCAATGTAAGAAGACTAAAGGGTTTGAGTTTTCAGTCTTGCTGACTTGGTAGATGCATTTCCCAAATGTGTCAATCACATGATTGTCTGGTTCAGTCCTGATTATTTACAGACTACCATCATATAGCTTGAATATTGCTGTATGAACATTAACCATGAAGGGGCAGTGGGGTAGTCAAGTGGTTAAAGCGTTCGCTTGCCTCGGGTTCGATTCCCCACATGGGTACAATGTGTGAAGCCCATTTCTGGTGTCCCCTGCCGTGCTGGAATATTGCTAACAGCAACATCAAATCTAAACACACACAGACATATTAACCCTCAAACAAACAGTAGCTTTAAGATTGTTCATGTCCAGTGCCCTTATGCATTTTCCATTAACCTTAGCAAGTTATTTATTTCGAATCTGAACACTATAGACCAAAAGACATAAAGAACACTGTTGACTGTTCCTAAGCTGGCTTCCTGTATCTTTCAGATGGACAGTGGA